GAAGAGAAGAGAAGAGAAGAGAAGAGAAGAGAAGAGAAGAGAAGAGAAGAGAAGAGAAGAGAAGAGAAGAGAAGAGAAGAGAAGAGAAGAGAAGAGAAGAGAAGAGAAGAGAAGAGAAGAGAAGAGAAGAGAAGAGAAGAGAAGAGAAGAGAAGAGAAGAGAAGAGAAGAGAAGAGAAGAGAAGAGAAGAGAAGAGAAGAGAAGAGAAGAGAAGAGAAGAGAAGAGAAGAGAAGAGAAGAGAAGAGAAGAGAAGAGAAGAGAAGAGAAGAGAAGAGAAGAGAAGAGAAGAGAAGAGAAGAGAAGAGAAGAGAAGAGAAGAGAAGAGAAGAGAAGAGAAGAGAAGAGAAGAGAAGAGAAGAGAAGAGAAGAGAAGAGAAGAGAAGAGAAGAGAAGAGAAGAGAAGAGAAGAGAAGAGAAGAGAAGAGAAGAGAAGAGAAGAGAAGAGAAGAGAAGAGAAGAGAAGAGAAGAGAAGAGAAGAGAAGAGAAGAGAAGAGAAGAGAAGAGAAGAGAAGAGAAGAGAAGAGAAGAGAAGAGAAGAGAAGAGAAGAGAAGAGAAGAGAAGAGAAGAGAAGAGAAGAGAAGAGAAGAGAAGAGAAGAGAAGAGAAGAGAAGAGAAGAGAAGAGAAGAGAAGAGAAGAGAAGAGAAGAGAAGAGAAGAGAAGAGAAGAGAAGAGAAGAGAAGAGAAGAGAAGAGAAGAGAAGAGAAGAGAAGAGAAGAGAAGAGAAGAGAAGAGAAGAGAAGAGAAGAGAAGAGAAGAGAAGAGAAGAGAAGAGAAGAGAAGAGAAGAGAAGAGAAGAGAAGAGAAGAGAAGAGAAGAGAAGAGAAGAGAAGAGAAGAGAAGAGAAGAGAAGAGAAGAGAAGAGAAGAGAAGAGAAGAGAAGAGAAGAGAAGAGAAGAGAAGAGAAGAGAAGAGAAGAGAAGAGAAGAGAAGAGAAGAGAAGAGAAGAGAAGAGAAGAGAAGAGAAGAGAAGAGAAGAGAAGAGAAGAGAAGAGAAGAGAAGAGAAGAGAAGAGAAGAGAAGAGAAGGTGATCCAGACTGTTTCTGCCAGCCTGAGCACAGGCTTTCCACAGCTGCTTCCCTATGTTACGCGGGTGTCCTCGCAGACAGTCTCTATCACGGAGGACTTGTGCGTGGTCTCTGTTTCTGGGCTCTCCTCAAAGGTCTTCAGCTGCCTCCTGAACTGAGCAAAGACCATCCTCAGAGAGGAATATAGCTCCTTGCTCCGCAGGGCATAAATAATGGGGTTCACCATGGAATTGAGCAGGCAGAGGGTGCTGCAGAAGGCAAACACCTTGCGCAGGTGATTGCTCAGCCTGGCGAAGATGCTGTAGATCATAAGAATGAGGACAGGAGACCAGCACAGCACGAGGACAGTCAGCACCATGACGAGGGTCTTTGCCAGCATGACATCCATCCTCATCCTGGTGTTTTGCTTTCCCACCTGCGCTTGGTGCTTCTCCATGTAGGCCACGTGCTGGTGGGCCCTCCACAGCACGTGCGCGTAGGCATAGACGATGCACCCCAGCAGGACCATGATGAAGCAGACCCAGCTCGACAGATAGTTGCCATCCACAAACGGGAACAGCTCGGAGCAGGTTGAATCGAGCGTGCAGCAGTTCCAGCCCAGGAGGGGCAGGGAAGCAATGGCTGCACATGTCACCCAGAGCACCCCCAGGGCTACCCACGCTCTCTTCCTCGTCATGAGGAGTTTGTATTCGGAGGGGCGGCTGATGGAGATGTAACGGTCCAGGGCTGTCAGCAGCAAGCTGCTCAGGGAGGCAGAGAAGGATGTGTTCACCCCTCCCAGCTGCAGCAGGAAAGTTTCTTTAGAGAAATCAGTTTTATTAAAAACATGGAAGTTAACAAAACTGCAGACGAAGATGATGCTGGCCAGGATGTCAGCCAAGGCCAGGCTGCTGATAAAGATGTAGGAAGGCTTTCTCCTGGTCCCAGGGGAAGAGAAGATCAAGTACAGCACCAAAGAGTTCTCAAAAACACACAATGTCCCAAAGAGGCCGCACAGCGTGGCAATGCTTATCTTCTGTGCTTGTGTGCTGAGGACCATGAAGCACTCCATAGTGTTCACGGTGCATTTGGAGGAGTTTTCAGGTATCTTACAAATATCCATTGTAATTAACTGGAGCTAGGAGCTTGCGGAGAGCCTTTCTGCTTCCTTCTGCCCTTCTTCAGATGCTCTGAAAAAGACTGAGATGAAGAGGACTTACAGGAGCACAATGAGCAATAAATTCAACCCACTCAGACACATCCCTCCCTTTGGAGGGAGGCAAACAAAAGGAAAACAGCACAGGGAGACCTATGTTCAGGTCCACAGCCCAAATGCTGGAGCCAGCTTCCACCCTTTCCCAGCAGATATCTGGGCTTTGTCCCACCAGTGATTTGGCTGAGACCCGTCTAGCACAGCCCGTGGGTACCACATCCATACCGCGCCACTTGTCCGTACCCCATCCGTTGTCCGTACCCCGTCCGTCTCTCCAGCTGTTTCCTCACCACAAGAGGGAAGCAGCAACGCTGAGAATTGTACAAATCCTGGGCCAGCTCCTACCAGCCCTCTGGGATTCACTGCTCAGGACCAGCAGCAGCGGAAGGGGCTGCTCATGGTGACACCATGCTGTGGCCAGGGACAGGCCCTGGGGAACAGCCCGTCTGAGTGACGCTGCACCGGGAGATGGCTGGGATGGAGGAGGGCGAGAGATACTGCACTGCCAGGAACTCGGTGCGGCTCATCTGGGAACACAAAGGGCACTTTGAAGCATTTACTCTTCACCAAAGCTGTTTGAACACGTAAAATGACAAGACTGGTTTTATATTTAAGCTTGCTCGTTGCAGTTTGATAAAGCTCAGCCTCATTAAAGTTGCATTTCTCCCCCTATAACCCCAGTGTCATGAGTCAGTGTGTCCTGTGGTCAGAGTGATTAAAAGTAATTGTTTCACATCAATATTAGAGTGCTGGTTGGACATCAAAATGGGGACATGCAAAGAGTTAGACCACCTGAACCTAAGAATCCCTGTCTGTGCCCAAGATTAGGTTAATTTTACCAATTTTTTTTTACTTTCATCAGAGATGTGATAGAGGGAAGTGCCTTATTTTCCCCTAGGCAGATGTTGAGCTGCTCGGTGCACTTCTGCAGCTTAATGCATTTAAATGCCTTCATCTTCATTAGACTGATGAGCTTGTCCTTCAAATGATATTTTTCTCCCATTCTTGCTGTTGATTATACTCGTGCTTTAAACCAAATGGACCTTCACTGAGGGCTCAGCTGCCTTGTGTTGCTTCATGTACCAGGGGGAACAAGGTCATCCTGGACTGAGTTATAGAGAGCAGATGACGAGGTGGTTGTCGGATACACTAAAGCTGCCTTATTAGCAGAGAGATGCTGTGTCCTGAGTGCTGTGCACTGGCAGTTTGTACCGACCTGCTACAGAAGCCCATGGCACAGGACCCCTCTGCCTGAGAGCATCTGCCTGGCTTGGAGTATCCAGGATCCCACATCCAGGCAATGGGACCATGAGCTCCTGCTGCTGGGGGAAAGCACTGAGCTGACAGTGTTCCCCTTCCCCCGGTACAAACAAGGCACTGCCTCTCCCTGCCCTCAGCTCTCTTTCAAAAGAAGAAATGTCCAAAATGCACAAGCCACAGCAGATGGGAGATGACAGCTATAGCTACCCGGGGAGTGGAGCGAGTGCCCAGGCGGTGCAGGGGCCAGGCTGCTGCACTGCTGGCCTCCAGCCACCTGTAGCCAACCATTTGTGGTTTCTCTGTATGTTTTCTGAATTTCAGCAAAGGCATCAGCTGTCTTAAGAGGCGACAACAGCAAGCAGTGACCAACATGCTAAAAGCCTCTGTCCGGACCATCTTAGATGCTGCCCAGAAGGTCACGGAGAAGAGCCTGAGCCCCACACTTTGCTCCTGCCTGCCTGTCATGCTCAAACATCGGCAGTTGCAGGGCGTTCGGTGCGTGCTACAGCCAGAGCAGTTCAACCCTGATTTGCATTTCTTTGCATATCGGACTTGAGGAGGCCTGGACTTTGGGCTGAAATGTGGCTCAGCATTGCAGCAAGCCTCTCTCCTCTTACATCAGGCTCTGGCATGGCGTAATCGTGCAGGACCGGAGATGTTACACTCTAATCTCAGCACTCTTGTTTCCTGCAGCTCTTCGCAGAAACACCCCAAGTGCAGCAGTAATTACCAACTGCTGTTATTAAACCTGACAACATCTCTCCCTCCAGAGAGAGATGGATTTAGCAGGCAGATGGACTTTGACATATCTCAGGGCTCACCAGGGGCCACCGGGGCAGCAACTGCCTCCTCGAGTATCCAAAACTCCAGCATCCAAACCAAGACATCTCTTAATTAAGCAGACTCCAGCATCACCCTGGCTATATTAATTGCAGCCAGTATTCCCGGGACCATCTTAAATTCTAAGTATCTGCAGTTGTGCAAAGTCCAACCAACATACCGAGGAGCTTGGAAACTGTACTGAACACTAGACAAGAGACAGAAGGCCAGCAAAATGCTATTCCTCATGTTATGTTGTGTGGGGAGAGAATTTGGTTGTAATGGCAAAGTAACTCCTGCACTGACGGATACACTGTTCTGGGGCAGCTCTCTCGGTTAAGCTGACATATTTCAGATAAGCCCTCAGGTTCAAAATATTGTGCTGGGCTCGTAGCAATCAGCCAGCCAGCTCAGACCTTCTCTTTCCACATCTGTTGTGTCTCAGGCTGAATGACAAGGATGAATCTCTTTGCAGTTTTGTCTGAGCTCCCCAAATCCCCCTTCCAGCTCCCGTGTCTGTGATGGAAAGCACGGGGCTTTGCTCCAGCACAAGATCTCTTCTGTAGAGGCTCCAGAGCATGAAAACACAGGCAGTGCCAAGAGCCCCTCTCCTTGTACTGCCTGTCCCTGGGTTTTTTTTGGCCATAAGGCTGCTTTTTCCTGCCCAGGGGACATTTTTCTCTTGTCAGATGGGCTCCTGGATTCAACCATTTGTTTGTTCATGCCCACTGCCTCCTGCATGCTTCAGCTCCTGGGAAACAAGCCAGCCCGTATCTGGATCCCAGGGGAGAGCTGATCTGAGGCATCCTCCACGGGCCAAGTCCTGCTTCCAGGGTGGAAACCCCCTTCCGAGGGGCAGCAGCTCCACCTCCCTGAGAATTACAGCCGCAGGCACCACTGGAGATCCCCACCACAACCAGCCCACCAAGCCCTGAGAGTCCCTGCCCTCAGGGCTGACATTTCAGCTCAGTAAGAAAGAGTGAAGGGGCTTCTTGTGCTCCTTCAGAGCCAGGAGGCTGTGGCATGGAGGGATGGGGTCCCTGGGAGCCGTAGGATCCAAGCAGGGATTTCCTGGGCCTCTGTGCAGGATCAACTCTCCTCCCAGCACAGCAAAGTGTCTCCTGTCAGCAGGATCTCCCAGGGTGGGGAATATTCTGCCAAAATAAAGCAACGGAAACCCCTCCTCTTGCAACGGAGAACCCCCCCAGACAGTGCCAATAACAATATCCCCAGGAGGCAGCAAATGGAAGCAATGCAGTGAATGCACAAAAAGCCCAGCTATTAGGAACAAAATGCAGATATTTGGGAAGCAATATATATTTCTGATACAGCCTCATTGACTGCAAAGTGCCAAGAAGCAGCAGAGAAACCTTCCCCCTATTAGATCTGCTTGTGAGTCCACTCACTCCAGCTTAATAACCCCACTGGCTTCGGGGGAAATTAAATCTACAAGTGAAAAAGTCCTTTTCCATTTCAGTGCATTGCTAAAATTGATTTCAGTTGTCGGACTTACACTGCCTTGCATGCAGCAGCATGGTTTCTGATATCACTTGGGATGGTTTCTTCATTTACAGAGACGTCTCAGAATCCTTGTGATTAATAAGTTAACATGGTGGTTGCTTAGATAATATGAAATTAAATTTTCCTGCTGCAATCAGCCAGTGCAATGTGCCTGCAGCACTCTTAAAGTGCCAGTCTTGAGTATTTAATCTCCAGAATTTCTGACAGATTTGATCTTTACGATAAAATAAAATGGCTTAATCGATCACCTAATATGAACAAATCATTGATGCAAAAATTTTCATTAACGCTTGGACATTTCACCTGCTGCAAAAGCAAAATATCTTTGACTTTACAAATATTTTTGTTTGTATAAGATTTCTTGGTTTAGTTGCAGGAGAGGTTTTGCCATTATTTTGGAAATATCTGGTCACCCCAGTTAGTCCCTCCAACCATATTAAACAATGCTGAACGGAGTTAAGTCCCTGATGGAAGAACTGGCTAGCACGAGTGCCACACTGAGGATTACATACTTTATTTCCATTCAGAGTCCAGTTCTGTCCGTGTGTGACTGCTTGGGGTGACAGCATTCGAAGCACAGGGGTGCGTGGGTGCAGAGCAGCACTGCGAGTGCCAGTTTGGGTACAAAGCATGGCAAAACAGAGCTTCTCTCACTCCAACAAAACAACCACACGCGGAATCATAATAAACACAGACTCGAGCAGAACGCTCAGCCTGAGAGCTCATATCACACTAGTGCTTGAGAGACATTTGGAAATAACTCTGATATATCTGACATTAATATTTCCTAAAACTAGCTGTGAAGAGTTAGTCCCCAGTCTGTTATTTAAACACTTACCTTTCATGTTCTCATTAAGAAAACGTTCATTCTAAAGAACAATTTTCCCACCCTCTGTGAATAACACCGGGAATCTCCCCGTGCAAAACCCTACGCAGCGGAATCTCCCCACGCAGCACCGTGGGCTCAAAGGCACGATGTGTTTCACTGCGAGGAAAAGGATCTTTGGCTGCAGGATCTCCCCACGGGTTAGCAAATCCAAACCACTCACCTCCTCTTGCTGGTGTTGTGGGCTGGGGATGCCTGGGGGCTTCCCATCCCTCCAGCTCTCAGGGCAGTTTGTGCAGCTGCGGAAGGTGCCTGCTTCCCTCTCCTTTCACATCACTTCTGGTTTCATCTGGGTGTCTCATACCATTCTGGTTTATTCCCCTGGGCTGGAAATCCATCAGCACAAATCCTTCCTCTGTGTTCTCGCTCCCTTTCGCATTCTTTTGGTGGACGTGTGTCAGGTTTTCCTTCCTTCCCCACTTCCCCTCTGGGTCTCGAGTTCTGCTTCTGGCTGCCAGTGCCACATCTCACAACCACCCTAACCCTCCGACTCGCTGAAATTATTTGCTCAGTCCCTCCGATTCTTCCATGTACCTGAAGTGTTTGAGGCAACAGGCATTCAGGGTCTTTTCCTGATTTCTCTGGGGAAGTGGAAGAGAAGGGGAAGGAAAAGAGCTAGGAGGCAGACATGGGAAAATCTGGATATACCTGGCTGTGTGCAGGTCTAAGGGCAAGCTCAGAGATCTGCTGTCTGCGTGCTCACCGGCACCATTAACAGCGAGAACCCCACCTCTCTGTGCCCCTGCAAGTGGGCAAGCCACTGCTCTGTACACAGATGTGCTCTGCTAATGCCAGGAGAGTGAGGGGATTTTCTCTTTGCAAGTGGAAGGCAAAGGAAATGCCTTAAGGTCTTAAGTCACACAATCATACTGCTGTGGTCATGGTGGACCCAGGGCTGCGGAGGCCGAGGTCTCTGCTCTACCTGCTCCCAGCTATCCTTCCTCACAGATAACCGCTTCTTCCCCTCAGCTGGGCAGCAGCAGTCTGTAGCGGGTTCTTTCCAGGTTGTGCTGCTGCTGCTGGAGAGCAGGGACAGCTGCTGGGTGACACCAGAGCACCGGGGAGAATATCGCCTGTTCCTCAGGGCTCCGTGTCGGTGGGTAGAGGCAAGTTTGCCCCAAATCCCAAAGGAATTGGCCACATTATGTTGGTGTAAAGACCATACAGCCTATAGTAGGGAGCAAACGCTGTGCTGGCTGCAAAGGCAAGGCCGTGCTCCTTCACCCCCGACACCCTGCCCCGCTGCAGGTCCTGCTCTGACACCCTACAGAAGAGCCCCAACCTCCCCCCACAGCTCCATCGACCTGTCTTCTCCCAAGCGGGAACTCAACCTTCCCTCCCACTTGGATCCCAGCTCCCCCCATCTGGTGGATTCGCGATGGTTTTGAACAGCAGTTACATCTCCTGCTCTCCAAGTCTTTGCTTCGTGTTATTTCCCCTCAGCTTTTATTTGTGGCTCAGGAGTTTCCAGCAGCGGCTGGAGCTCAGCCGGGCGCCCGCGCTCAGTAAGGCTCGGCTGCCCTCTCCAGGGGAGCCCGCAGCACTCGCGGGGACATGGGCCTGTGGACGCTTGAGAAAGAGGCAGAATTGGGAACCCAGCTCTTCCTCTTGGCCCCTGGCTCAGAAAAGGGGGTTCCCCTGCTCGCCAATGCGCTCCGGCACGGCTGGGACCTGGCAGCCCCTTTTGATGCTGCTCAGGGCTGGGTGGTTTTCAAAGCCCCTCTCTGGATCTCGTGTGTGGAAATCACAATAAAGCTGAACGGCATCGCGGACAATTGTACAAAAAAAAAAAGGAGAGGCGGGCCCTCTGTCTGAAAAAATAACAGCTTCCATTTCGGTTCCCATGAACCTACAAATTTTCCTTTGCAAGAACAGACATGAGACTGTAAAGAGCTACTGAAAAACAGAAAGATACTTATACTAGTCCTGAGCTAGAAAAGCAGCACTCGGCCCCAAACTATTCACTGCTGTCACAGCTTCACATCCAGCAGGATCCTGTGAAATACAGACCCGAGTTTCCTCTATCTGCTCTGTCAAAGGAGCGCATGTTGTAAGAAAGAAACATTATTATTGCAACATAGCTAGAAGCTTGTAATTTGGTTTCTGAACTCTCTTTTACAGTAAAAATTGTCCTGCGAGAGTAAAAGAAAACCATTAAAAGCTGACTTTGTAATATAAGGGCTTTTTGTTCCCCTCTAGCTTGGATTTTTTTTTTTCCTTGGCATCAGCTGCAGCTAACACAGCTGTGAATAGCCCCACTTCGGGAAACCCCCATACCAAGGTCAACATCTGGGATCAATAATCTGTTTTGCATGCCCATAAAGATCATGTTCTGCTTTTGCCTTTCTGCCTGCTGGCACTGAGCAGAAGTACAGGCAACGCATAACCACAAGGAACTAAAAAAACCACCATTGCTGAGAGAAGACTCCAAAATGAGACTGCCTTGGCCGGGTGGGCTTTAAATGGCCTCGGGCTCAGCCAGGCGGGGTTGTCTGAATTCAGTGCACCTGGTTTCATGGTACTTAAGCCAGGAGCACAAGGAGGTGTAGATGAGGTGTTATGGACCTGATGGGATTTTGCTGAGCTATTTAGGACAGCCCTTGGCAGTAGGTTTTATTTTTTGTCTTGCTGTTAGTAGCTGTACTAGATCTCTCCAAGTGAATGATGCTGAGCAGAACTGGCAAGGGGGGGAGATGACCTTGGAAGGGATCCTTCCCTGCAGACTCTGACTGCAGAGCCGGTGGGCACCTCGGGGTGCAGGATGGGCTGGGACTGTGTCTCAGTGAGCTGCTGGCTCTAGTTCTGCGGTGTGCTGGAGGGAAGGCTCGGAGAAAAGCTGCCCAAGCTGTGGGGAAAAGGGTTTATGAGCTTGGTCTGGCTCAGTGCTTAGTGGCTCTGTCTCCACAGCAGTAGGGAGCAACCCCTGGGGCTGCTCTTAGCACACAGCCCATGTGAGAAAATGTGGTTGTGCTTTGTGGGAGGACAGTGACTTGCTTGTATTCCTCTGACTTTGGTGGGGCTGAATTTGAAAACTGAGTGGCCCAGACAGGGCTGAGGGTGGAGGCACTGCTCATGTAGATAAAGTATGAATCAGAGAGCCAGGGTGACTTTATACTGCCCTCTTAAAGGAAATGCTCAGAAAAACAAACAGGTTTAGTCTCTTGTATGGCACAGTTCATGTGAGTAGAGTGGGTCTTGTCTGATGGGTTTGCCCTCTGTCCCTGGGTGAGCTGTCCTGCTGCAGAGCCACCTCTGCTTGCTCTTGTGCTGTGAGGTGGGTTGAGGGTGGAAATGTTTCTCCTGCTGCTAGGGCATGAACCAGGCATATTGATTTAAATGGGCTGAAGGTTCCTGCAGGCTTTTGTGACTTGGTACTGGTGTGGATTTGACAGAAAACCTACAGGGTGTGACTCGGGAGTCATGCCTGGATGTGCTTTTATTCACAGAGTTTGGACATTGGCTGCAATGAAGCTGCTTCACCACAAGCCCTTTAAATCCCTCTGGGCCATAAGGATATGGCTGGATAACTGATCTTCAGGAACTGTGTGTGTCTGTGCTTACTCTTGGTGCTGAGTTTGTTGTGTTCTGTGTATTTGTATATATACAAATGTGCAAGCTGTAGTCATGCAAAGGAGGCGCGTTCTCAGAGACACTCCTGAGCATGGAACCAGTTTCAGCAGCGCAGAGGAAGAAACTGGTGTCAATGCAACTTGCGTACTGATGGACACTGACTTAATTCATAGGTACAACTTATATAGAAAGTATCTTTAAGTATCCTGCCTCTGCTTTATTTAACAACAAACTTATAAGGAGCTTAAAGTACCTAGTTTTATTGAATTGTTGGGGTGCTTGCTTTCTGTTTACTCTGGAGAGATTCAAATATCCACCTAGTTCCTGTAGATCACAGCTGTGGATTTCCTGAGCTTTATTTGATTGAGAAACAAGGGTCCTCTGCCAAATAGAATTAATGATATTCTAAATGCTACTGTATACTTTTCATGCAGATTTTTAAGGAAATCCAAACTCAACATATTTCCCACAGGAAGAAAACTTAGGTAGATTTTTACCCCAGTTAATGTTTGGCTCAGATGGCAGCATCTAACTAGTTTCAAGTGTGTCATGGGACTCTTGGTAACCTCGAGGTATTTACTTTTTATGGCTCTAAAAATCACGTACTCCCGGAAGCTCATCACCTGTGGAATAAAACTGGGGCAATGGTTCACTATTGACTTAACAAATTATTCATCTGTGCTGCTTATTTCCTGCAGTGTCCATCAGTGGGCAGTTCCACTGAAATGCTCTGGAATGAATATGAGCATGGTTAGATCCATCTTGATCACAGCTGGAAGCATTTTTCAGTTTGGGGCTAATGAAGCTCTGGGGAATTTGTCTTCCCTGGAACTTCTGTGCAAACTGTTAGTTGTTGCATCACCACAGATGGAGCTGCTTCCCTGGGCTGGCATTAACACTTGCTTTAAGAGGGAACGGAGATGCCGAGTGAAAAATAATAGGGGCTAGGAAAAACCTTGAGTAGTCATCACTGTGGCACAGAAGTATAGTGGAGGGATGAGAGGAAGATTTGAGTGATGTAGATTCTGTTGAAGAAACTGGCTCCCTGGGAACATGAAGAAATGCAGTAGTTATTGCACTCAGCCTTGGGTTACCTGGAGGAAGCGGAATAATCCAGCCTGAGCAGACACTTGCACAATAGAAAATGTACAATGGGTTGTAAGAGCATGTAGCAAAAGTATAGTGGAGCTGAGGTCGTTGAGTCTGTGTTGCCACGTGGCAATGCACAGCGAAGTCAGGTCTGGAAGTACCACCCTGCTCAAGCAGCAGGTTTGAGGACACTCTCTTGCACCTTTTTAGCAGAGGGAAGGCTGTGGGGCACGAAGGGTGGGCGTGAGCTGCTCCTGGAGGCAGCTCACATGTTGCTGCAGCCCAGTCTGCCCATGGCTGAGGTGAACATAGTGCCAGAGGCTTTGGAACAAGCAGTCTAGTGTTGAGGCCATTGGAAAAAAAAAAGCTGGTTTAAAAATTAGTATTTGAGGGGGTGAAGTAGCTTCTCTTGAAGGGATCTCAGATCTTGATGATAAGGGATCAAGACTGAACCCTGGGGCTGAGGCTGTGCTGTGTCTTCAGGACATGGCAGGCACTCAAAAGTTGTTCTTCTGTACATGTTGGGGTTGCTATAGCTCTGGGAATGTCTCCTTTTCTTCCACTGCAGGAGAGGAAACCTGCCCATGGTTTTAACAGCTGAAGTGTGAAGCAGGGGTAACTTTCTTTCTCTTTGCTTGCAAGTTGGGCATGTGGTGTTTCGGGTATTCTGGACCACCTGCCCTTTTGATTAAAAAAAAAAAAAAATACCCCTTGTTTTCCTGCTTGAACTAATGACACAAACTGACACATTTTACTGTAGCATTCAACTGGTTTCCTGGTGTGTTCCAGTGAAACAGCTTCTGCACAAGTACAGGATTGCTTTATCACTGACGTTTCCTGCTCCCCTCCGGCTAACTGTGTCAGCCTGACCTGAAAACCAGTTCTGAAAGACAAGATGTTGTTTTGAAATAACTAAAAGATAGTGAGGAAAAACTGCCAGACCTTGTGTTATCCTTGATCTGAATTGAAAAGTACATGGCTGGTCTGCTCCCCAGACAAGAGAGCACAGTTGCAGCCAGTAAAATGCTATTTCTAAATCTCAGTGACATGCCCTGACTTAAAAACATCTACACGCCGAGATGAGATGATAGTTTTGGCAGATATAAACACACTAAAGATAGAACCAAAGCAAAAAATCTGCTGATGTGCATTATAGGAGAGTTGTTTGAGATAATTAGAGGAATTTCAAGGCTTAAGTGTTTGGCTACAGCAGATACTGTTGTCTTCTATCTAAATGAAAGCTATTAAGAGGATCTTAGCCATAACATTTATGCCAAGAAATACAGAGCAAAGGGAGGAAAACAAATTAATCTCAGCTTGGTTTATGCAAACATACAATAAAGAACATGAACAAAGGTCTGGGCTTGGTTATGTCAACACATCTTGTATATTAAAACATATCATGGCTTTTTCAACAACACTGCGTAATTAAATACAAACTTCTTAAAGTTGCAGCTTCTCTTTGGAGTACTTGCTTTTGTCCTGTTAATGCCTGAAATCCCTGTGATGGGTCAGAACCCTCTAATACTAGGTGCTGGTCAGTAAGAAACTAGCTCTGTTTTAAATGGTTTACAGATAAAGGAGGAAAGTGTAATTTTTCCTTTCTGTAGCTAAAAGTGCAGGGTACCTCAGTGAACTCAAGGTGTCTGTACCTCAAAATAAAAACTTTAAATGTTCACGTGTTCTCAAGTTTAAACTGAATTAGTTGCTTCATTTTCTTTTTAGATTCTTTATTTTTGGTCCTTGGTACAGCGTTCAGGGCTTACCTGGCCCCTCAGTGGTGGAGAGGGAGCCGGGAGCTCTCAAGTGTGCAGGTTTCTTGTGTATGTGGAATTTTCATTCAGCCTGTGCAGGTAAAGGCCAAATCTCTTAAGGGATCGTTTACACTGAAACCTGAGGCAAAATAAAAGTATTGTGAATATAAACACAAACAGCAGCCGGAGCCAGGGGCGCTGCAGCTTTGAATCCTTTCCCACAATAGTTTTAGACCTGTGGAAGCTTTTCCCTTCGTGCATTTTCCTGCATCTTGACGTTTAAAAAAAAAAATCCCTTTCAATGCGTTTTAATAATTTAAATTACAAAAATGATTTCATTTAAATAAATGTAGGTGTGGGCTCGCGGAACTCGAGAAGCTCCGTTTAGCGATCTGAAGGCTGCGGGGGATTTCTGCGGGGCTGGATTTCGCTCTTTGTTCGCTGTTCAGCTGAACCCCCCCTGCTCGCTGGGACCCTCTCAGAGCCCGGGGGTGGGGGGGGAGGCGTTTTTGCGTGGTGGTTTTTTTTTTTTTTGTCGTTAATGATTTTAATTATTTTACCGCTTTGAAGCCCCACGCGGCAGCTGGCGCGGTTACCCTCACCTTTTGTGGTGCAAATTCCCGAGCGCTGGGGGAAGCTGGCTGCACGGCCGGGAGGGGTTGGGGGGCGCAGGCCGCGGCCCCGGGACAAAGGGCGGCGGGGGCCGCGCTCCCGCCCTGCCCTGCGCTGAGCAGATTCAAACGGCGGCCAGTCTGCCCCGGCCCCTCCCGGCAACAGGCGGGGCTTGGCTCCCATTGGCGGAGACAGCGGGCGGCGCGCTCCTATTGGCTGCAGCGCGGTGAGGAGGGGAGGGGGGAGCAGGGTGAGGGTGTTATACGACGTAGGGAAGCGGCCGCCATTTTGTGTGGGAGATAGAGAGGGGGCCGGTGGCTGGAGCGGTTCGGGCTGTGCTTTGCGGGAGGGGGGGGGTTGTCGGAAAGTGACGGCGGAGGAGCAGCAGCGGGGTCGGTGCCTAAAGGCCCGTGTGTGTCTGTGCTTGTGGGCGAACGAGACGGACAGAAGTCGGTAAGGGAGGAGCGGTGCGGGGAGGGCCGGGCGCTCTCGCCGCCATGTTGTGTTCGCTGGGCGGCTCCATTGTTGGGGGAAGTGGGGGACGGGGGTTTCCAGTTCCCTGAGGGGTCGGGCGGGACGAGAGATGGGGGGGTGTGGGTAAGACAAGAAGGAAGAAAGTTTGGAGACGAACAGATGGAGGTCTGGCAAGCGCTGAGCCCGTGAGGGCTGCTCCGGTGGGAGCAAACAGCAGCTTGGGTTCTGCTGCGAACGTTACTTTGGCCCTTTGGTTTTAGTCGCAACAAGAAAACGAAGTTGGGGGGGCTCTTCCTGGAGCTTTGGGCAAGAGATGGGCTGGGGGTGCTGATGACTGAAGAGTGACACATCGATTAGAGGGTGGTGAAGAGATTTGAGCGCTTTAAGATTAAAAAAAAAAAAGATTTCGTGAGAGGATGAGCCATGGGCTAAACAGGAAATACTGTTAAGAGTTGTGGAATTCCTTTTCTAACAAAGGTGAAAAAAACAGCCGACAGATGAGAAATGGCTGGAGGAGGGTTTGGGGGTGCCATTGGTGTTAGGGGAGGTGTTGGGACACTTGGGGTCAGTTTCTGGGCGCAGTAAATCCTGGGCGGTGCTTTCCTGTTTGTGCTGCTCCCAGCGTTGGGTGGGCGAGTGCTCGAGGGACAGTTGTCTGGGAGGGTTTCTTTGTGCTCAGGAGTGATGTATTAGAAGCCCTTGTTTCGTAAGAGTTCATCCCAAAGTATTTTCCATTGTATGTGACGTTTTTCCCTATTATAAAAAAAAAGGTTCTTGCCTATTAAAATACTTGAGATACATAGAGCATGATAAAAATGTATCCTTTGTGAAATGCTAAGTGTAATAGTAACGTTTATGTAAATAGAGTAAGATAAATACTGCTGGGTTTTTACTTGTTTTTTTTTAGTATATTGTAATCTTAAATAAGACACACGACTGACTGAATTCTCTGAACTATAACAGCTCTTTTTTTTTTTTCTTTCACCAAATTTGAATTCAAACTTCATTCTCATTTATGCAGTGGGACTTCTCCCTTGGAGCTTCTGTGCCGAGAATCCGATGTTGGGCTCGGCTACCTGGCTGAATACAGCAGATCAGCCCATGAAAACTTCTATTCCTAGCCAAAGGAAGGAGTCCAGCAAAAGGCAGCACCTACGCTTTCAGGCTTGGAAGCAAGAAAGGGGGCAAGAGTTGGAAAGTGTGGAATCTGAGAAGACAACTGAAAGGTAGGTGGGGGTGGGAGAGGAATAGTACTAGAGGAGAGTCAGCATGAAGGTGCCAGGTACTGTGTGATAGTATCTGGCTGTCTGCTGTGGAAGTTGTCACAAATAGTTGTTTTCAGTTCACTTTGGGTTTATCAGAGTAATTCTTGGGTTTAGCAGAAAGATTGGGCTTGTGGCTTTATCAGGTGCAAACTTTGCCCAGATCTTTAGGTGTAACAAGCTTGGTTTAAATGTCCTCAGGATTAAATACTAACATTTTAAATTTGACGCTTTTTATTTTTTTTCTCTCTCTCTCTCTCTCTCTCTCGAGCAACAGGTCTTTCACGTTCTTCTAACACATTTTGTTGAGGAGAAAAGTGGTGTGTTTAGTGGTTGGGCTGCCTGGAGGAGCTGAATTTTTGTAATGTGGTAGACAAAGCTGTGACTGATAAGGGGATGGGGTACATGCTGCTCAGCCATCAGCAGCAGAATTGTTTAACCATTGTAGAGTCAGTAATCTCTCACTGTTCTCTGGAATCAGAACTGCCTGTGCTCCCAGTGTATATTGTTATCTTTAACAAGTATGAGACACAACTGACTTTATGAATTCTCTCAATTATATCAGCTTTTTTTCTTTTCGAATTTGAAACAGTTGTTTCTTTAACCTGAATTCAAATTTAGGATTGGGTTCCTAGGTATTAGTGAAGTGGCATCCAGTAAAGAACCGCTGCTTTTCACTGACATAAATTTTGGTTACATTGATTTCAGTCTCCTTGCTTAGAATCTAAAAATTCTCTGAAATACTTTTTTTTTTTTAAATATATATAAAAAAGTAGTAATGCAAACTCCACTGACTTTTCCCCTGTTTTTACAGGTGACATTTAAGTTGAAGATGGGTGGTGGAGAAAGATTCAACATTCCAGTTCCCCAGTCTAGAAATACCACCAAGAACCATCAACAACTTAAAAACAGACAGAAGAATAAAGACCAGAATTCGCAGATGAAGACCTATATGAAGAAAGAAAGAGGACATGGATCCAACTCATCATCTGGTGCATGGCAGGCCATGCAAAAAGGGGGAAAGAACAATGTTCACTTCCCCAGTAATCAAAATTGGAGTCCAACTTTATCGAATCGCAACCTGTTTTTCACACCTCAAACCAATCAGAACTATGCTGGAGCAAAATTTAGTGAGCCACCCTCACCAAGTGTTCTTCCTAAGCCACCAAGCCACTGGGTACCTGTTCCTTTTAAACCTTCTGACAAAGAAATAATGACATTTCAGCTTAAAACATTACTTAAAGTCCAGGCTTGAAATGTGCAACTTTTTATACTTAAATTTACAGGGTTTCAAATTATTTTATTCCTAACTCCAGGTGTACAGAACTAGATGTTCTTGCTGCATGTAGTCACTTGGAAGAGGAGGGTGGAAGTTTACATTCCCCATATGTTTTACCTCAAAAGTTGTGTGCTGTGTTTGCTTCACTGTGAAATAGGTATTTTCTCTAGAATCAATCTAATCTAATCCTGAACAGTCACCGTTTATTATATTTATTCTGAGAGTAAATGGGACTGTCTCCCAAAATTGGAATTGTGACTACTTTTGGTATGGTGTTAGAAAACCAGCTTTTACCTAACTCAATGCAGCATTAACTGGAAAAAAAAATGCACTGAAAGCTTTAGTCAGGTACTTTGCTGCTTTTCAAACTTGTATAAAATTTGCTAGTTAAATAAAAACTCTGCAGAGCAGATTTGCTGAGCAGTGGAGACCCCCACCTAGGCCTGAGGTAAACCACAGATTATTCTCTTGTTTATACTTGTGAGCTTTATTTGGTGCTCTTGAATTGGTGGACGAACATTTCAAGCCTGTGACTTAAAGCTGAGATCTAGGAAACATTGGTGTGTGTTCTTGAAAGGACGGAAGAACACATCGGGCAAATGTGTAATTGCCTCTCTCCAGCTCTAGCAATACTTCACTGAAATATCAACAAATCAGACTGTGCCAACTAATGACGTTGCATTGCCAGATGACTGCCAAAAAACTCCAAAAAATCCTTTGTATTCCAGTTGCACTGATGAATTCTAAAATGTTTTTGTATCAGTTTTTAAAATTGTGAAAAAAGTGGAGTAGTTACTTAGACTGGTCTTAAATTGGCTACCCTGTAATAATTGTTTTAAGGTACAGTAGCTTGTGGCAGGTATTAAAATGTTTTAATTTTGTAAGGAAAGACAGAGCCATGTAAATAAATGTAAAACTTTGTAGCATATGTAAATTTATGCTGGGCTTTCCTGCACAGAAGTATTTTTAGTACAAAACTGCTGAATGTAAGATGACCATGTTGAATACATGGCCTGATTTAAAAAAAAAAATATTTTTGTTTAAAAAAACCCCCACATTTGTGGCTGTGCCCTTGCACTTAACATACAGTGGATATGCACGTTTTACTTGCTTGTGATCTCATTTTTGAAGTAAACTCAGTGCAAAAAAAGGCTTATTTAGAATTTTTTAATAAAATAAAAAAAACTAAAAAAAAAAAGCTGCTAAAGTTTAAGATACTTGTTCTGAATGTATAGGAGAGGTGTGTATTATATGATGAAAAAACAAAGGTTCAAAAATCATGTTTCACAAGAAATGCAGATGGCTGAGTTTAGGTACTTGATAAAACCAAAGTACTGTAAATTTTCTGTTTCTAAAATGCATTAATGCTACATTTTGTCCCAGTATTTGCCAGAATGTCAACTTCAGAATGGGGACAGGGGCCGCTGCCAGTGAGCGGCATTCAGCGCTGTCACAGTTCAGCTGATCCTCTAATAGAAGCGGCAGAACTGTCATAACAGAATCCAAGGTTATTTCAAAATACAGTAATTGCTAAAAAAAAAAAAAAGTGCTTTAAGTTGAAAGTAGTTTTGCAGATTGCGGAATGTTGAGATGTCTTTCTGTACATTCAAAATGCATTGGCAGCTGGTTGAATGTTTACAAATCTATTGCTCCAAATATGATGGAATTGGCAGTTTTTAAATTTTAACCAATGTATGAGCTGTATCCCAGTTACGATTGTGTATACTCGACTTCAAATTGTCAATTATTAATGGTGTATGTACAAATTGGAAGCAACAAAAATTTAAATAAACTAAACTTTTTACCCCCTAAAAGCATCTATTTATTTTAAGATGGTATGGAGAAGTGGGATTACATCATTTTGTCTGCTTGAGGAGTTTTATAAAGCTCTTGACATTTTAGAATATGGATTAATGTATTTAAATACCCCCTTTTGTATCCTTAACTGGCAAGGAACTCTAAAAAAATTACCTTTTATTCGGCAAGAATCAGCAGCCCAGGCCCTGTGTGCTGCCTCAGGCAAGTGTCAGAACAAGCTGGAAATGGCTTCAGAGCAGGGGAGGCTTAACTACAGCCCGGCCTTTGTGAAACAAACTTAATCTCAGAACCAAACCAAAGCCTGCTAAGGGGCTGCAAGGCTCTGCCCAGGAAAGCTAGACTTGTAAAACAAGCTACTCTCGAGTAGATGCAGCTTAAGCTTAGCCAAGTAGAGTTGTGAGCTAGTCTTGAGTAGATGCAGGTTAAGCTTAGCTGAGTTACAGTTGTGGTCAGGCTCTCTGCTACCTCTGAGGCCAGGGCAGTGGCTCAGGGCTGGGCTAGACTCGGGTCTACTCGGGTATTCAGTGCTTGGTGATCAATCTCAAACAGGCTACAGCTGTATTAATTAAGTCAGAAGGTGCTCTCAAGTTATAGTCAAAACTTGTACATTTTATTCCCAATTCACAGGGTTATTTGCACAGATGGAACACAAAACTCAAGAAGAAAGGATGTGTATGAATAAAACATTAGCATCTTTTGATCAAACACACTACAGGGTACATAGTCTTCCCTTCCTATAATAGTCTCATCAGTAAGAGCATCTTTAGACAAATATTATAGCAATGGACTACAGACTTTTTAAGCAAGTTACAAGATAAATGGAGAAAACCAGCAATTATTAATGGGTGATTATGTCCTAAAAATGTGTAAATTTATCCCTTTGTACTTCAAAATGTTAATCTGCAACATCCCTGCCAAAAAATCAAGTAGCAGTGGTGCGATGTAGATCAATCCAATTGCCCTTCTCTGAGCATACTTCAAGCTGTTACCTCAGACTAAACAGTAAGAAAAAAAAGCAGCTCTTTCCAAGAAGAGAGCTCAAAATAACATTTAAATTGAAAATTTCCACTTTGAATAAAGCCATTATACTGTACATTTAAACATCTTTAAAAGACATAGAAAGGATAACATTTAGCTTTCAGAGACCAGTCTATTATAGTCCCTAATTTAAACACCCAGCTACTTAACCACTAAATTTAAGATTTTTAATTATCAGTTGGGTGCATGGACTTTTGGTGAAAAAGAAGTTCCAATAGAGCCTTCTATTACTGCTGAGATAAATCAATACGCTGCAGATATTTTGGAGCACAGCCATTATTTTCAGCAGAATTTTTACATACTACTTCAATTCTACAAATTTTGCAGGAATGACAAAAATCTAGTTTACCACAGAAAAACATAATTCCCACCGTTCTTGAGACTCCAAAAGAAAGATGCCTATACATGATCTTTTGTAGCCTGCGTATGTTCTTGCATTCCAGCTGTGCATAACCTGCAGGTAGCTTGCACAAGACAGGCTACTGCTTTTTTTAGAGCAGGACTAGGATACCTGCATCAAGGAAGGGAGATGTTATCTAGATGGGCTGTGGCTTGACTTGCGTGAATGCGTAAACATTCCCTGCCCTTTTGGCCACATCCTGCTAACTCGTCCCCAACTGAAAGGCCCACAGAACAGCTTCTTCACAATTTTTCCATGGGAGCAAGAACTAGGACAACATCTTTATTCATGCACTCTTGAAACATCGTGGGTTTGTGTTCGGCTTTTCTGGCTTGTTCATATACACAAGTCAAGTCAAAGTTTAGTCCTACCTCTGGGAGAGAAAGAAAGAACCATCAGAACTGTCAGATACTACATTATACTTGCAATGAATTGGATTTTCAAAACAAAAAAAAAAATTTAAACTGTGCTATACATAAATGTTGAGGTACACAATATAAGGACATGCTGACAAAATACTTCAGGTATAGTTACTGTTACTCTGCAGTCTCAAATTAAACCTCAGCCTGGACACAAAGATGTTCTGCACCCTCCTCCCCACCGATCCAGCTGTAATTTGGGCTGGTCTAACGTGAACATTAATTACAGCAATCCCTCACGGGTTGCTGACAAAAACAAAACCACACTTTCCCACGACACAGGCAGGTGGACCACTTTGAAGTAGGATTTCAGCGATGAAAACTACATTCATTTAAGCAAGCTGAAAAAGGGTGGGTTTTTCTGCTGTTAGAAGCAGAAAGCTACAAGATAATCACAGCTCAATTTACAAAGTGTAATAAGAGTGGGTTTATCAACGACATCAAGTACTTTTCAGAGCTGTTCTCCTTCAGTGGCATAAGAACTTGTATATACCACAAGTGCCAGGAGGCAGCTCCATTTCTAAATGTCATCAGCAGAGTTTTACCACCTTCTAGAGAACCACTGCTGGCAAATATAAATCATTAAGGTGATACCAGAAATTTGGTTCTATATGAATCTGCAATTGTTGATTTTAATTAGTTCATAACCTGGCTAATAGTATCTGAATTATAACCATAGGGCAGTCCATCCAGCAATATGAAAGTTAACGGAAAAGAAATTTCAATATATTAGACTAAAACATACGCTTATCATTCTTATTTAGTCTAGTACCCCTTCAAAAATGTGAAATGATATTTATTCAGACATTAAATGATAAAATCCTGACTTTACTGAAATACCATAGTAAGGATTTTACTCCATAAGGGATGCATAGCTCTAGTCCTAACCATGCTCTGGAGTCAAATTCTATAGCTACAATAATTCCAGTGGATCAGTATTTCCTTCATTTTTTTATTACAGCATGTTTGCTAAATTTACAGCAAGCAGAAAATAAGCTGGGTCTTTAGTTATTTTGATCAAAACATTGATGTTTTAAAGGTAGTACACAATATTTGTTAAAAAGAACATATAAAAATACCTTTTTAGAAGCCTCTATAAGAAAGGAAATACAAAGTTTAATCCCACAACTTTCCTCTGCTAGAGCTGCACGCTACTGCTACAGTTTTAAATAGACTTTTTGCTGTTTTTAAACTATACATCCAGGAAAGTCTACAAAATTAAAGGAACGTGCATATAAATGATTGCATAGCAGAACATGAACATTAACTGCAAACAGTAAAGAAAAAGTTAGAAATACTATCAAATGTACAAAGATTCTAGGATCAACCTCCTAAGCACGTTCCACTGCCAATATTTAAAAGCCATCTGTGTTTCTTTAAAGGCCCTGCTGAAAACACTGAAACCAAAACCTAAGACATTTCTCTAAAAAGGAACTTTTTGAAATCAATGTCTTTATATGCTACTACATAAGACAGTGAGGAACACTAGGTGTTTGATGCTGGCTTTTGAAGGTAAATAGAAAAAACAATGCCAAAAGCCATTTTCATAACAAAGTATCTTGCCTTCTAGAGAAATACTGGTAAGATTACACACTGGTTTTGTTATTTTTCACATTCAATTTACTAAATATACTGTATTAGTGATAAACTAAATAGCTAGAGATGCAGCTCTTGTTCATATCCAACTTCAAACATTTGCTCTTACGTAAAATGAAATCTTGTAACCAAACCACTATCCATTCTGAGGAAGAAGTGATTCAGACTTGCTCGACCAAATACTTTGATGTGTAAAAGCAAGCCTTTGTTACTCAGGAAGAGAGATGGCTACAGTTTTATACCTATGAATACACCAACTAACCACAGGAGTCATTGGCATAAAAGTTTAGTTCTTATATACTGTACACACACAACTTGAAACAATCTACTTGTATCTAACAGCAGGAAAACTAAGCAATTTTATGGTTAACTGCTCACTAAAATTTAGAATAGATACAAAAACTGCATAAAATGTACACACAACCTAATATTTAGTTGCTCTGCCATTTGCTGAAATCTGAATTTAATTTTCCATTTCAAGGTGTTTTTTTTCCCCTCACACATTTAGTACTAGCAGCCAGGTCGAAAGCAGTGAAGCCTCTATCCTGACAAGTCACGACACTGCATGAGTTTCCAAGACCAACTCTCTCCCCATGTAGTACATGCAATGTTAGTACCATCTCTGCAGATGGCAGGGTTAAAGAGAAATCTCAAAAATATCTCTCCATAGAGCTCCATTTACCAACCTACTTGTGTCAGTGGGCACGGAGAACACAGAAACCTGCCTTTGAACAACGGAAACATAAAACTGCCAGTCTGCATTTCACAGCAGTCAGTGTTGCACTACAGCTGTCCAGTTTTCCATTTTATCACAAAGTTTAGCATTAAGGAACAAGTTAAACGGTTGGTTTAACTGTTCAGCACAAACTGGTACCAATTTCTCTATGGGTATGACATTTTTAATAGGACAATGTTGCAAGTTACGATCAGTCAAGTCATCACCAATATCTAAGCATTAAAAATGCAAATCTTTACAAAAATATACATAGAGACACCACAACCAAATCAGTAGCTGCCCATGACATTTAACCAAGTGGACATTCTCTCCCTCTCTCTCTCTCAGTGGCTTCTCAACACTGTTTTAATTTTAACCATTGTCGGCTACAGGGAAAACTGACAAAGAAAATATTTTTTAGCGCTGTTGCAACATCATATTCCTGATAATTTAAGTAAACTGAACTGTGTGTAAATGAATCTTACATGCCTAAACCAACATGGATACACTGTTAGTGGCCACTGGACTTGGGACTAGTCCATGACCTTGATCTGGATTTTGACCTAGATCTAGAATGTGATCTTGACTGTGATTTGGATCTAGCTGGTTCTTTTTTCCTCGACTCCTTTTCATATCTTGAGCTGGACTTATAGTGTGTTTTAGAATCTGTTTTAGAGGTGCCTCTAGATTTGGTGTGAGATGCAGACCTAGACCGTGATTTAGCCTTCATTTCTTTCTTGGGCTGTGACTTGGATCGTGATCTTGAATTGGACTTAGATCTTGAAAAAGATCGATTGCGGTGTTTGAACCTATCAGAATAAAGGGGAGAGAGGAGATTTGAATGTAAAAACACTATTCTTAGACATCTAGTACATCAAAAATTGTTTACCGTTTTTTCAGGAGAAACTTTTTTTTTTTTAAAACCTATAGTTAAAGGAATAGAGTCATCTAGTTCAATTTAAAGAGTGTAAAAAGTATTTTACCTATCATTGTCCGAATGGCTTCTGCTACGACGAGGTCTTCCAGTAGGTCTACTGCTAAAAAGGTACATCAGAAAGAGTAAACAGTGACAAATACCTATGTATGTATACAAATGCTTAATAAATTATTTTTCAAGCTGTGCATTTGCTTTTAATCATTCTTCAATGAAGCAGAAAATCATTTCAGTCAATATTTCTGATCTGATGTAGCATGCAAGATACATAACTCCCACAAGTTACTCCCACAATAGAAAAAAGATTATTCAAAATTTTAACAACTAAATAGTCAATGTGGTGTTTCTCCTCCAACAGACTGCTGTGCAGTTAAAGCCAAACACATACTACACTTACTTTCTGGGACTATACGATCTTCTATAGCTGTAATCAAAAGAACGACTTCTAGACCGTCTCCTTTCGTAACTCCGACTTCTAGATCGCCTATATCTGTCATAGTCATCGTAACGAGAAGAACTGTATAGGTTTCTCCCTTCCTTGGCTTTCATTTGGTTTGGTGCTGTAAAAAATAGCAATATTTAACATTTTAAGTTAACAAAAAAGATGCCCTGCTTTCCCTTTAGTGACATTACTAATTCATATATTTGGTATTTAGCAGAAAGCCTAATTCGTTACTCTTAGCAGAGACGTTTATGAAAAGGACATTGAGACATTGCTGTATGCTGTTTGCTTTTTTGCTGCTTTAACCACTGGACAAAAATTAATGCAGCCTTGCGGGCATTATAAATCTAGGGAAAAAACCAAAACAAACCAACCCAGCCAAAAACCAGAAAGGACTAACACTCCATAAAACAAGAACACAGAACTGGCTGAGGTGATTTCAGGCCACCTGGAAATCGATATGACAGGCCAAACCCATGACTGAAACATTCCTGAATTTACCCAAACAGTGAAAGCTAACAGGGAATTAATTAAACATCCATTTTCCTGACTACACAGCACCACGCATTACACCTGATCCACAGTCGTCTTTAATGATTAAAAGACAGCTTATGCAGAAGCATCAATAGATGCCACACAAAGGTAAGTTTGAGTCTAAAAGCACCCTCCCACTAGTACAACAATGCACATTCACTCTGTAGCTTACTCATTAAAATAATTAAGAATGAACTTAATAGTCTTGTTGTATTTTCTCTAAGCAGTACAGCTATCTTTCCTTTATACTAAATCCCATTCTCATTCAAACCCCCAAATCATGCTCAAAGTATGTGAAACACACCATGACGTAATGAAGATTATATGTACTAAACAGCTACCGTTTTTATAAGTGCTGCCATTTACAGCACTAAGGTAGATTTAGTTAATTTTTGTTCAGAAACTTATCAGAATCCCAATGTTTATATACAGCACAGAAATTTGTCCTTCAGAGCAGGTAATTTCCACTGACTTCCATAAAAGTGAGTTGTGCACATTTGAGGGAAACCTGGACTGTTGGGTTATTTCTTTGATAGCTTTAACTGAAAGGTCTTGAAGTGCTTTTACTCCCAAGCTGCATATGAATATTACAGACCTGGTTTAGATCAGTAAGTATGTGTTAGGTTTACCAACAGCATGTTTTATTTTTAGATAATATCTGGATCTATATATTAATAATATGTATACAAATAACAGATTTCAAAGACTTAAGTTCTCTTTACAATTATCTGCTCAGAAAATAAAACTTCTGCTCCATCTTGAATGGAGATACCTTGAAATCTACGTTTATCCTGAAGCCAAATGAAAATGAAGAGATTGCTTCAATCCTGGAAATGACTGCACTGGGAAACATCACCACAGAACCACTAATACACTTCAACACAATATAAACATTGCTGTGTATTAAAACTGGGCTACTCATTCTGACAGGGAGACTTCTCAAGAGTCAAGCTTTCTTTGCAGAAACACAGAACTGCACAGAGAGCTCTTAAGAATTTTCAGCCAGCAGCAAGAATCAGATTGTGGTAAGTGACCGTTGTACTTAGTTATCTGTTTTTAATTAAAATGAGTCATTAATAGTTACGGGATAAAAAGAAAACATCCACATACTCTTTGTATACAAGTAGGAATGCATCACAATTAATAACACATAGAATGTTGCCTGGCACTAAACGTTAAGGCTAAAACCATAGTCTGATGAAATACACGCAGGGCACTTACTCTTCCGATCCCCCTGTGCAAACTGGATTTCTATTTGCCGACCACAAATCCACTTTCGATCCAAATTATGGAGAGCATCTTCTGCATCACGGACATCTTCAAATGTGGTGAGTGTTAAGGTACTTGGGAATTTGAGCATTTACAGATTTGGTATTTAAAATAAAAAAAAAAATCAGTTATTTTCTAATTTTACAGATTTTTTGGGGGGGGTTGAGGGCTTTTAAGAGTTATTTTGGTCATACGACATACACACTAGTATTTTTAAATTAACCACCAGCTATCTGAGAACTACAATAAAATTAAAATCTCATAATATGACCATGAACTTATCCATCATCAAGCAGTTGCTACGTGATACTCTAAATTTCTTCTTCTCCCACTTGTACTTATGCAAGGAAAAAAAAAAACCAGTATCCTTTTCAAAATACATTTGTTAATGGTCATTCAGTTCTCTCCACTACATTGACTTTACTAAAATGAAACCCTAGTTCTAAAATTATGTTAGGAATACCAACAGTAAAAATTAAGAGGTGTCTATTAATTTTAGAATTGGGATAAAGCTTTCCTTTTTTTCCACCAACTGACTTTAAGTTTAAGTTATGCAATGTCATGGACATGTATACAGACCTTCAACAGTCTGAGATAAAAGCATACACTAAAACCCCTAAGCTATCAGTCAGGTCAGCTGTTCAGTAACACAGACATTACTAATTTTAACCCACAAGATCAACCGCTATTGTAATTCACACACCTTCTTCCAGCTATGTGACCTGAAAGAACGAATTTCCTTTCTCCTTGTAGCAACTCAGTTCATCATCAGCACCATCTATGCAGAAAATCAACTACCGCGTTGTAGGTATAAATCTTGATAAACCAAGAACGAATGTACTTTCATTCAAGACCACAGTTACAGTAGGACTCACAAGAGGAAATATTACAGGTTTCGTCAATGGACTAAACCAGAATCATTCATCAAATTACTGCTTACGTGACAAACAGAAGAAAAACTGTTATTCTGTAGGATACATCAGGTATGACTCCTTTAATCTTGGCCACCATTCAACTTCATCTTGACCTTTAACTCTTTAAGTGCTTGTCAGAAGGACTTGTCATGAGATGCTTGGCCAAAAATGACAGATGGCTTTATCTTTTACTTTGAAAAACAACCTTTTCCCCCTTTTGTAGATAAAGCGAAGCTTTGTCTCCCATTATGGCTTGTCCTTCTTCCAGCTTTTCTTTATTTTTTCTTTTCCCAAACTCTCCCTTCTCTTCAAGCCTGATCCTTAAGAGGTCTTTGGCTTGTCTACTTGCCTTAATTGTTGAACTCTACTCTAAAGGTTCTTTCATGCTTTCTCTTTGGGGTCGCCATTACTGTACAGCTTTACATTCTGAGGCAACAACAGAGGACAGTAAATTAGGGGACAATATTAAAGAAAGAAGTTCACCTCATTTTTTATACAATCTGATTTTGATCAAGTGATTCCAGTTTCCATTCGTTAAATTAACAATGAATACCAGCCACAGTTCGCTAAGCACAAGTTTACTTACATACCAGTGATAATAAAAATGTGCTAGACAATTTTGAGTCAGTGATAAGCTTTCATTTAAATCATATAGTATTAATTTCAGTGATATAAGCAAGCTTTTATATTACTGGACTTGATTTACGTTTTGCAAAAAGGCAAAGAATAATTGAGAGAAGTTAATCTTCAAATATAATGAAACACCACAATATAAGACACTTATTAGATACAACACAAAAGTAAACTGCTTTTTCATTTAGATTTGTTACCTCTTACACAAACTTGAATTTCAAACTTCAACACCCCTCACTAATCAGCCATCTGAAGAAAGGATATTGAACATAAGCAAATCCTCTGGGACGACGAGTGTAGAAGTCAAGTGGAACGTATACATCAACTATAGGCCCGTAACGACCAAATTCACGGCGCAAGTCTTCAGACCTAGAATATCACAAATATCTTATATGTCTTTTCACTATTTAAGGTGTTACAAAACATCCACCAAAATTTTTATATCTACAATTAAAATGACCACCCATCTTTCTGGAAGCAGTTGATAAGAGGATGAATGTAGCAAAACATTTTGTGGAAAAAAGTGCTTGAGCAGTTCATTGTTAAGCAACACACTAGGCTTTTCTGAAACTCAAGACTCAGGTTGCTTAAGATATACCCTGGCATTCTGAAACCAGTGTTCAGCATAACTCTACAACAGAAGTGTAAACTGAGAAGTGCCACATGTTAGTCAATTCAATGGAGGCTGTACTAGCAAAGGTTGGCAGAAAGTGAAAAGGATCTAAGAATTATTCAACTACCTCACGTAACGCTTGACAATTTTGCAATATGGGAAACATCAACTGTAAGATCCAAACAAATAGTACGATAATAAACCAGTCACACAAACTCATTTCCATAAAACAATCAATACTTACAACCACATCAAACAGAACAAAACTTGAGCGAGCAACCACTGATGCCCTTAGGATAGCTTTTCCAAAGAGTTGGCTTTAGAGAGCCGAGCACAAACTGTTCAACAGATCTGCAACTACACTTGGAACAACTATCGTCTCAACAGAGAGGTTTCTTAATAACATCAGCTTCTTTACATGTATTTTTGTGTCATTTAAGGACAATAAGATGTATGAAAAAGACTGATGTATTACCACATTTATAGGGTATGAAAAAGTTACTACTATTCTCTTTCTCATCAGTTGGGAAAGAATCTACAGTGCATATAGTCAATGACGGCAGAAGGAAACTACGACAAGCAACATCAAGATCTCACAATGATACCACCGCTGAGAAGAATGTACTGCCTAATCGCAAGCTTACGGTGAAAGCCTCAATATCACGCACATTATTTTAAAAACTTTGGAAGAAATAGTCCTCAACTATTCTCACAGTAAAATAAAACGACTGGGAAGAGTGAATTCACGCAAAAAAAAAAAAAAAAAATTACAGTTTTTAATTTGAAGCTATTCACACTTTTGATCACAATAACGTTCTTAGTTCATTCCATTCCATCGTGCCTACGCTACTGTTATGTGCTGAACAACTTTGGTGCACGCTGCCCAGGCAGCAAGTTCAAACACTCCTGCTTGCGTTTTATACAGTTAGCCTAGCCCTTACTGGGACTTCCATACAAATTCTTCAATGCTTAACAACGTAAGAGTGCTCTAACTCACATCGATATTAGTATATTCTATACTAATTAGTATATATTCTATATATTATATTCTATTCTATATTAATATGCTCTATAAATGTTTCACAGTTGATAACAAACACAAAAGGGACATGATAAACTGTTAAACAGAAACGGAGAAATCCAGCAGTTTACTAAAAATATCTAAAATAATGAGAATAAATTAAGAACTAATTAAAAAATATGAACCTGTCCAATACATATTTTTAATTCCCTACGAAAACTTATTTCATTAAGCTGCTGCAGACATTTAGTCCTTATGGAACCTTGCTGCAATACGATTATTACGGAGAAAAAGCACTGTTTCCCTTCCCCATTCCATACTGAGCGTCCTAAGAGCACACGGTGCATAATAATTAATGCAGTAACATTCCACCTGAACTGGCAGCAATTACCATACTAACGGAACCAACTACGCCACGAATTTTGGGGACACCCACAAGCTTTTCTCCCTTCTAGTAACAATCGCTGTATTTCAGAAGAGCATCCCAAACTCCAGCGGCTGCCGAGCATCGCTAAGGGGCACAGGCGGCTACCCCTCAAGCGGGGATGCAAATCCCGCCTCGATCTCCCGCTGGACAAACTCAAAGGCGGGTACGAGAGTTTCACTTTCTTCCGGCCCAGCTTTGTTCTTTCTGGACGTTGTTTTGAAATCGATCCTCGTGGAGAGGAGGGAAATAGAGCAGCATCACGAGGAGGGAAAGGAAAATGGAGAAGGGCGCGGAAGGCAAGGCAGGGAGAAAGGTAAAACAGAAGAAGGGAGCAGGCCGGCCTCCCCCCTCCCCTCCCCTCGCTCCC